TCAAGACTATCAGTCTATTCAAGCATGAGGAAAAAATAACCTGCTGACATTACCTTTGTATTCTTTTTCTGCTAAAGTGATACGGATACCAGCTAACAAAAGTTCTCTTGCTTTTACCGCCTTGAGCCCTCCCATGACAGTCCAAATGAGACGAGCTAACGGCAGTAGGAAAATCTTACAGGTGCATCATAATGAAACAGGCAAATAAAGTCATCGGAACTTGCCCTTGTCAGAGATGCAACAATGTGACTGGAATTGCTGCACTTCCCAACAAGAACAGAAATGTACAGACTCTAACAAGCATTAGCATGCTGTTTCTGTCCATTAAACCACAGAGATAAGGGGACTGGAAAGGCCTGGATCATCCTGGTCTGCAATCAAAGGCAACCGGATAAAAAATGGTACGAAAAGCCAATTCTGTCAGGCTGGAGTGCTTTGAAACCCGAGAGCATCTCTGCTGCAGGACAATCCCTGCCACCGCTCCTCCGTGGCCAGTTCCATACTGCACAGCTCCAAGTGCAGAAGCAGCAGCAGCCCCGCTCACCTCTGCAACCGCTCATCTGCCGGAGTGCGACACGTCGCTACTGCCTACTTGGAAATTACAGAGGACCACACCACAAAGCTACAGGCTGCAGAGTCAGGATGAATGATTAGATTTATAGAAAGATTTACATATAAATTTATATTAAAATTTATATAAATATATTTTTATATATAGATAGGGTTATAGCTCAGAACACAGCCAAAAGGAAAGCAGATGTTTGACAAGCAGCCACACGTGTCTACGGTGGGTGCCACGATCCATTCACCTCCAATGTCACAAAAGCAAGGCTGCCACAGGCTCATCAAGACATTTAGTGTGCCTGCTGGAAAACAAGCTGCATGACAAGGATTTTCTCATCCTGTGAAAGAAACGGTGGCGATACTTTATTATCATCTGCATTCCTGTCATTAGCTTCTTTGTGCTGCTTCTTCCATACCTAATGCTGCCAGAGAAACTTCACTTGGGTCTCAGTCGCTGCACAAGCTGGGACGTTAGCACCAGGAGCCTCTCCTTGCGCTTCCTATATTCAGAGCTTTTATTGCAACGTCTTGAAATTAGTTTCCTATTTCAAAGCTGCTGCTGCATTAGCCAATTTATATCACTGCATTAAATACAAGTAAACTCACATTGTACAGTCTATGCCTGTTTACACTATTTGTCATTTAAACCCTTGGTACTGAGAAAGTCTATAGTCTTTCTGTGTGTTGGAAGAATTGAACATTTAGCCTCAAGTACAGGAGAAAATGGAAAAAGAAAGATGGAAAATTAGTATTTATATAGTACACGTAAACACATGCCATGTTTTACATAGCTCTGAACACTGTCTGTGGGATTCTTCTCTCTCCTTACAAATTTAATCCTGCTTTTTAATTCAAAGGTCAAACCGTACATGCAAGTTTGCAAGATTTCAGGTCTTGGAGGCCAGAACGGTTCTCATTTAGCACCAACCAACAGAACAAACCCAAACCACAATCTCACTCGTTTGGAAAACCACCGAGGTTCACCTCTGACAACAGCATGTTAATACACAGCCCTATGGGCACCCATCAGAATTTCATATTTTTTAAGCTGTCTACTCATGCATAATATGCATATTTATTCATCCCTCTCTGGTTGTTTGCCAGAGATTTATTTTAAGCTCCTTGGTTCTGGTGTAGCAGATATTCTCCTCCTCCTCCCATCCTTGCCTACACTGTCTTTGACACTGTCGGCATCTCTCCCTCACAGAGAAAGAAAATTAAAAAAAAAAAAAAAAAAAAAAGGAGAACCTGCAATATTAATGGAATAACACAGGAAGGTTAGAAAAAATGTTTTTTGACCTTCACAGTTTTTTACTCAATGATGTAAGATGAGTTAGAAAAGAATATAAGCATATCTTAAGGTCAAAAAACTCATCAGCTGATAAACTAGTCCTTTTGTACACCACAAAACTGAGTTAAAATAAGGTATTCAGTCATATTTCCATCAAAACTTGCTGGTGTTTTACTTAGGGCAGAGAAACTCAAGCATTTCAGTATAAAATGCAGTATTTTACACAGTTCATTTGGAGTTCAGAATAGTTTCTGCTCTTTTATACTTTTTATGGGTTAGACTTTGAAATTGTATTTCTCAGTTTGCTGTTAATATCCACATCTTGGCCTTAAGAGTTTATTCTCTGCTTCATGCACATGTGTCACTCCCATTAATGCTAATGGAATCGAGTTAAAACGGAGCACTGAGGGAGAAAAAAGTACTTGCTAATCCTTTATAACCTTACCGCAAAGAAAAGTGATTTGTAAACCACGTGAACCCAAAGATCAGGTACAATAGCTGCTGACTATTGTGCTCGGAGTTAGGGGCTATTCCTGGGGTACTGAGAGGAAGAAAGGATAAGCCATGAATTACAGAAGCATGACTCTTCAATAACAGAAACGAAACACAGTCTTATTTTCAACGATTGGCTTTTTTACAGTGGTACAAGTGGTCCCTGAACTGCAGACCCCAATTCAACCCCCTCGGTGCCTTGCAGCACTCCAAAAACCAGGATGACCTCAGTTGTGCCCAGCCTGGAGATGAAAAGCCGGTGCCTCCTGCCATGAGCACGTGCCACCCTCCTGCGATCCCTGTGGACTCCAGGGAAGGATGTTTGGGCTGTGTTTACCATTTTGCTCTCCAGTTTTGCTCTGGGGCACACAGCAGTTGATCGACCCTTTTAATAACAGACAAGGTCTTTTTTACATTTGTTTTCCCTGTGCATTGCTTTCTTAGCTATTTGCTGTAGATGCCTCCTTAGAACAGCACAGATTAAGAAAAGGCAGAGTCAGCTCATACAGAGATCTAATGCTGATCTTCACTTGTCTCTACTTTTGTTTGCAGGGACCAATGTAGGCATGGGCAAATGCCATACAAGCTGTTCAGATCAACTCAAACCTGAAGAACTCTTGGTGACAATAAGCTACAGCATTCCTGAGGGAAATTGTATTGAGGCCGCACCTCGAATACTGTGTTCAGTTTTGGGCCCCTCACTACAAGAAGGACGTTGAGATGTTGGAGCGTGTCCAGAGAAGGGCAACGAGGCTGGTGAGGGGTCTGGAGAACAAGTCTTATGAGGAGCGGCTGAGGGAGCTGGGGTTGTTCAGCCTGGAGAAAAGGAGGCTGAGGGGAGACCTCATCGCTCTCTACAACCACCTGAAAGGAGGCTGTAGCGAGGTGGGGGTCGGTCTCTTCTCCCAAGTAACTGGCGAAAGGACGAGAGGAAATGGCCTCAAGTTGCGCCAGGGGAGGTTTAGATTGGACGTGAGGAAAAATTTCTTTACTGAAAGAGTGGTTAAACATTGGAACAGGCTGCCCAGGGAAGTGGTTGAGTCACCATCCCTGGAAGTATTTAAAAGACGGGTAGATGAGGCGCTTAGGGACATGGTTTAGTGGGCATGGGGGTGTTGGGTTGACGGTTGGACTTGATGATCTTGGAGGTCTCTTCCAACCTTAATGATTCTATGATTCTATGATTCCTTTCACAATAAATACCTGTAGAAGATATGAACGGATAACACAGCCCTCCACTCTGGGGCTGCATCGTCAGCCCCCTGGTGTAAGGGAAGCAGAAGGACCAAGTGCCATGAAGCGCAACCCCAGGAACATCCCATCTAACTGTAAGTACCTCACTGGATAGCTAAGGCAGAGGCAAACATTTTGCCCTGAGAAAAACCTGCTGCTGTACCACTGTCACCTGCAGTCTGTAACTCTACCAGGGGCTCACCAGCTTTCTCAGCGCTTGCCTGATCCCGACATTACTTGCTGAAATGTGCTCTGACTGTAAAAACCACAGATTAAAACTTGCACTGAAACATTTTAAAGTATTCCCTATATACCATAAAAATAATTGATGGGGAGAGCCTCTAACCGAATACTATCCATCAATGTCAATATATGGGAGAATTAAAACTGACAGCATTAGAGCTCTGTGATTGATTTATTGCTTTGTAATCAATCTTTCCTGATTTGTTATCCAATATAGTTTTTTCCCCAAATAAGGAGGAGATGGAGAATGATTGTAAGTGTAATAATCTATATATTCATTTCCTATAATAATTCATCAGACATCGGACTACTCATAAGCAGGCCAAAAATTAAGACCTTCATCAGTGCCTCTCACTGTTTATCAAATTATTAATTTAAATATTTTTGTCAAATATTATAGCTTTTGCTTTTGAAAAAAATATTTGGCAGAAAAAATCTGAACACACATGAATAAACACTTTGAATTCCTGAAATGCAGAAATTCAGCCCTGGATAAGAAATAATGAAATTAAATCAGAGTTTGTGCATCTTTTCAAAAATTATGACATTGAATTGCAAGGGTGAAACTCTTGCATCGTTCGACAACAAGACAAGATGTATTAAAGAGTTCAGAAGGTTTTTAAAAAAGATAACGGAAGTTTAGGAGTAACAAGAATAAATGAAATTGAACTAGATAAGACATGTTTTTAAAGGACACCACCTAATCTCAGCATGCTGAGGGCAACGTTTCTCCACAGGTACGCCATGGCTTTATGCATGTCCTTTGCAAAACTGAATCTTAGGACACAGCTGGCTGCAGCGACAGCAAGTATTTCTCAAGCATGATTACTGGCCATTGCTAGAAACAAGTCATACAACGATATGGACCAGGGACCTGGCTTTGTATTACAATTCCCGTATCATTTGCAGTATAATTTTAAACTGTGTGTGCATACAAATGCATTAACTTGCTCTAAGCACCATCAGTCAGTGCAACCACAGACACCTTCCTGCTGTTAACGTTGTCCCCAACCCACGAGGCTCAGCAGGATTCTGAGATGCAAAAGACACTTTAATCCCCCCAGGCTCCACTTGCATCAGCATCAAAGGGGAAAGGTGCAGCATGCATGGGGCTGCTTGGGACGCTCTTAGACCCTAAAAGGGAGTATCAGTCATATGCAATGAAAATTGCAATTACCTTTCACAACCAAGCTGCCCGTGCTGCTTGCTGTCCCGAAGTGGTTTGTGGCCACGCAGGTGTAACTTCCTGCGTCGGATTTGGTGACGTTGACAATCCGGAGGCTCCCATCGTCCAAAACAGTGATTCTGGAAAGACAGCAGACACAGAAGTTATATATTTTTTAAGTTAACATAAAACTCTTTCGAGTCTGCATTAATTATTGATGGTTTGAACAACAGACAGTCCGTTGGCCATTACAGAGGGAGTTTAGCTGACAGAAATCTCTCAGGACGCAATTCATAAATATTGAATGCCACCATTTACTTGAGTTTTCCGTGTCTTTACTTGAGGGCAACTTTAATTTACACACCAGCAGCTTGTGTAGGTTTTACACGTGTCTGTACTTTGATATTCAGCACTCACCATGACAACCCTTGCAACATGTGGTACACAGGCTACATCTAAAAATCTCCACGCTTGCTGCTTAACAATGTAAAAGCTTCTGCCGAACAGATGCAACGAAGCAGGTGTTTCATTGCTGCTTTTTTTCAAGAAGGCTGATGGCTTTTCAGCAAGGGTACCATGCTGCCAAGCTTCCCCTCTGCACTCTCCACCTCTGCCTGCACTATAACTCAGCCTGTGGGGCTTATCTGCTGTTGCACTTGCAGGTTTAAAAAGAAAATATCCTGTTTCATTCCCATCCCCTCTTCACATACGTACTCCCCGTCAAAACAGTGTTGTTATCTGCAGCGGTACACGTCTCTCGGAGAGCGGGAGGCAGGCGAGGATGGCACGTTAATTCCTGGGGTGATCCCCAGCCCCTCCTCTTGCACAAGGGCTGCACTTCAGGCTTGCCTTGTTCTCATAATTAGCTTTGTCTCCTATTCCATTTTCTTCTGTTCTGCTCTAAGTCCATGAAAACGGAAAACCTGATCCTGCCCAGTAAATCCCATCGAAACATGAATGACTTGTGCCCTGTGGAGGCATAATCTAAGGTTACTCCAGAAAAACCTTTCCCCCAGCCTAATATCACCTCTTTTAGCAAAATACTTGGTTGTCTACTCAGTATCATGTCTTACAGCACAATCTGCTTTCTTCCCTTCAGCCACTTTCAGACCTGCACTGAAAATCTTGTATTATTTCCTG